CATACACACAAAAAATTAAGTGCATTGAGTTGCTGCCATCAGTTTGGGTGATTAGATATTTAACAAGCAGTTGAACACGTATACCTAATAAAGTGGCCAGTGAGTGAACATTTCAATATAGTATCTACTGTACATTCATTCATTTAGCAGACACTATTTAGTAGTATGTAGTATAAATCTACAATATAGTATCTGCTTTATAACTTGTTTATGTATAAAGGTTTATTTTAAATGTTGCTGTGCACATAGATGGTTTACAAGTACAAGGCACAAGTACTTATAAGCAGGGTGCAAATTACGGGGAGTTTTGGGGGGTCTGACCCCCCTTAAGAAGGCTTTATCCCCCCTGATGGATGTCGAAACTAGTTGTAGGGGGGTCAGATAGAAAGAAGGCTAGCCTACGCATAATAAGGAGATTTACTTGTAAATATTAATATGCATTTCTATATCCCTAACTAATTTTAAAATATAATTTTGGCAGCTCCTGTAATGGGTCGTATTGGCATTACCTGAGCGGTTGAAGAATATGCTACAGCACTCATTCAAAGACGTGCATTTATTGCTTGGACGGAGCAAGAACACCTAAAATGCATGTGTATATTCAATTGAGTGATAAAGTTTACCATCTTCAACTTAATGCTGTTGAACTGAATTTATGGAGCAAACTATTTGCTAAAATAACCATAACATTAACAGCACCGCTAGCTGAAATACAAGCGCCGGTTCTGTCCGTCAGATGTGCGTGAAAGTTGCATGTGTTACTATAACAAACACTGCTTTTAGAATCATTAATGGCTGGTAGACAAAAATAGGTAACAAAGGTTTTTACCTAAAAATTAAGATAAGGTAAAGGTGTGAATAATTACATTTTAGACACATTGTCAGTAATTTCACCAATGAAAATAAAGACTTTGGAGAACTGTTGTGCGTCTCAGATCAACACACAGCAGCGTTTCATTAATGAATCCACGTATTTAAATGAATCAAGTGAATCAATGATTCAGTGAACCATTCATAAAGTCAGTCTCTTGCTTCGTTTCTAAATGAATCAGCCATTTGAACAAATCGATTGAATGAATGATTGAATGACTCACTTAAAACAGGGATTTGCCACCACCTACTGGCACGTTTATTTTTATATTTAGAGTATCGTTTCTTTTTTTAAATAATTTAATATTTCACTATTTATTTGTATTTTTGTATGTTGAATTAAAATATTTCTTTCTATAGTAGGGCTGGACGATATGGCTAACATTTATTTCATGATATATTTCTTAATTTCGGTCGATACGATATAATTCCGATATCAATATGAACACTATTTATCTGAAATAGAAATCTTTTGTAACATTATAAATGCCTTTATCATCACTTTTGATCACTTTTAAGCATCCTTGCTAAATAAAAGTATTAATTTCTATAATTTCTTTCCCAAAAAAAGAATAAAAAATATACTGACTCCAAGCTTTTGAATGGAATAGTGTATGTTACAAAAGCTTTTTATTTCAGATAAATGCTGATCTTTGGATCTTTCTATTCATCAAGGAATCCTGAAAAAAAATTTACTCAACTGTTTTAAATATTGATAATCATCAAATCAGCATATTAGAATGATTTCTGAAGGATCATGTGACACTGAAGACTGGAGTAATGATGCTGAAAATGTAGCTATGATCACAAGAATAAATTACATTTTAAAATCTATTCAAATAGAAAGCAATTTTAAATAGTAAAAATATGTCAACATTTTACTGTTTTTGCTGTACTTTCAAATAAATGCAGGCTTGGGCAAAAGATAATTCTTTAAAAAAAATTAATCTTACAGTTCAAAAACTTTTGACTGGTAGTCTAGGCTGATTATGGACCCTTTTCACAAGACTGTGATGACGCATTTAACGGTCATCAGCTTCGGTCGATACGATATAATTCCGATATCAATATGAACACTATTTATCTGAAATAGAAATCTTTTGTAACATTATAAATGCCTTTATCATCACTTTTGATCACTTTTAAGCATCCTTGCTAAATAAAAGTATTAATTTCTATAATTTCTTTCCCAAAAAAAGAATAAAAAATATACTGACTCCAAGCTTTTGAATGGAATAGTGTATGTTACAAAAGCTTTTTATTTCAGATAAATGCTGATCTTTGGATCTTTCTATTCATCAAGGAATCCTGAAAAAAAATTTACTCAACTGTTTTAAATATTGATAATCATCAAATCAGCATATTAGAATGATTTCTGAAGGATCATGTGACACTGAAGACTGGAGTAATGATGCTGAAAATGTAGCTATGATCACAAGAATAAATTACATTTTAAAATCTATTCAAATAGAAAGCAATTTTAAATAGTAAAAATATGTCAACATTTTACTGTTTTTGCTGTACTTTCAAATAAATGCAGGCTTGGGCAAAAGATAATTCTTTAAAAAAAATTAATCTTACAGTTCAAAAACTTTTGACTGGTAGTCTAGGCTGATTATGGACCCTTTTCACAAGACTGTGATGACGCATTTAACGGTCATCAGCATCGTAAATCCTCGAAAGTTTTTCATATTTGTATTTTTTTTTAAACGTATATACATTTATAACTCTATTCTTTGTATTATGTCACCTTTGCATCAAATTACAAAAAAACAGTTAATGCTAATACGATGGTGTTTCTAATGCAGCGTCTATGGGAGTGACGGTAAATTTGACATCGTTCTCTCTTCTGACTGTAATCCGTTATCAGTCTCTCTCAATTTATTTCCTTTTATTGAAAGTCATGAAAACACTATCGCAGAGTTTTTCTTTTTCTATTTGAGCAAATGGGAATGCAAAAAATATATGTGTGGTACTCTCCCATTCACTGCTCTTCAAGTTAACCCAACTATGACGACTTCCGCTGCTGAGAAACCCGGAGATGTGAGAAAGGCCCATTCTTATAGATTGAAACAAATGTGCTTCAGCCAGAAAAAAAGGGTATGAAAAGTGCTCCGAGTCGCTGCAGAAAACAAAAAAATTGAACAACAACAAAAACTGGAAATGTTGCTGGAGACGGGCTTGTTGAAAATGCAAACTGATTCTCCGCCAGCAGGAGGCGCTTTTAGAGTGATAAAACTAGCGGTTTCTCCAGTAACGGCTGTAATCAAAGCAGCTCCGCTCATGAACGCTACTTTATCAGATCAAATGAAAATGCCACCGAAACTTTTCTGAAGACAGTCAGTTCCCTTCAGAGCTTCATTCATTTAAAACACCTGTGCCGCGTTATGATTTTGAAACGTGCAGTGCTCATGTTTATTCAACGAAGTCAAACTGCACAAATAAATCAATGTATGGGAAACACTGGTAATGTATATCGAAATATCGGAAATGTGTTTAAAAATCATATCACCGTTATTGAAAAAAATTATATCGCGATACATATTGATATTGAATTATTGTCCAGCCCTAT